TGTGGTGGTTCTAACAGCGCCAAAAATTGGAAAGACACAATTGTTTTTGCACGAAATCAATTTGAAAACACGATTAAGAGACATTGTGAAAATGGAAGGGGGACAACTCATATCGAGTTATACTTATTATAAAACCCAGGTTGTGTGTGTGTGTGTGTGTTTATATATGGGATCAGATTTTTTAACCGATTTCAACAAAACTTCCTTTTTTTGGGGCAAGTAGTGTTTCTTATTGTCTTGCACACTTTTTTCTTAATTTTTACATTCAGAATGCTTTAAAAATTCCATTTACAAGACAATTGTTTATAACAAAATTCTATTCAATCGGTAGACTCATAACGTTTGAAAACAATGTTTTCGTTTGAGTTTGACCAATTCATAAAAAAAAAAAAAAAAAAAACTAATTAAGACATGTGTGTCCGTCAACCTTAAACAATAGTCTTTGTCAATTTTATTTTTCAATCTTTATGATGGTCAATACTTGATCTATCTCTTACTGTTACATCCCCGAGCAACGGCAGGCTCTACTGCTAGTAGATATATATATATATATATATATATATATATATATATATATATATATATATATATATATATATATATATATATATATATATAGTTAATGATGTTTGGTAATCTGTATGGATAATTCCAGGGAAGATATAATCCAGAGAACTCAATATAGAGACAGAGCAAATATTAATTATTATTAAGAAACAGACAACTTTAAGGTTTTATGATGATTATAATTTGTTTCCTTAGGATCGAAATTTGATCCTATATCCTCAGATCAATCATTTTCATATAAAAAACAATATATAATTTAGAAAAATAGTATGACAAATTGGGAATAAGTTTTTGCACCGCGTTTCATTTGTTAGGATTTCATATAATTTGGTCAACATGGAAAAAACACTAAATAAGATGAAATCCTAACGGATGAAACACATCACAAAAACCTTTTTCCAATTTGTCATACTATATCGCTTGACTCTTCTGTCGAGGGTCAAGCAGATCAGTTCCCAGGAAACTGACAGTCCGACAACACCACATGAGAATTGATTATAGTGGTGAAGGTTTTGTGCAGGACTTTTTGAAGGGCCGAATACAGAGACCTGGTGCACTACGTGCCACAAGGTCCCCAAATGACCCTCCGTAGGTTTTGAATTCAGAGTTGTCCTTCTCCTAGACCAGTTGCTATCCAAGGCTATAGAACCTAGTCTGTGCTGCTATTTACCCATAGTTGGAGGGAGAAGAAGAGGATTCATACCTTTCCCAAGAGTATTAGCACGTAAGTGAATGTAACATACTCTATATATATATATATATATATATATATATATATATATAAGTTTTTCCCTATCTTCATTGCTATAGTTTAGGAAGCATGGACACATGTTAGAGTTTTGACTTTAGAGTTGTTTTTCTCCTAAAATACTTGCCAAACATAGCCAGAGAGCTTAGTCTGCCTTGCTATTTAACCCATAGTTGGGGTAGGGAGATTTGCATTTGTATTTGCATATAAGTGAATGTTATGAACCCGACTGGAATTCAAACTAGGCTCTATGATTTCTCATTTCGAACCACTATCCATTATGCCACCTGTGCATCAATACTGAAGTGAACTCAAAAGAGAAGCCTATTATCTCCTCATCAGTCAACAGGACTGAAGTTGATTAACTGGAGTTGAATAGATGTATTTGTTGGCAATTGAACTTCATGTACATTGTAGTGAAAATGTAAATAAAAGAAAATGTAAATAAAAGTAAAAAAATGTAAATGAAAATAAATTCAGAAAAAATGTCCTCAGGTTTTATAATAAGTTACATAAATGAAAAACGGCAGAGTTATTCAACTCTTTAGGACAAGGGCGGTTCAAACTGTAGCCCTGAGTCCCAAGAACAGGAAATATCAGAATGAAATAACCTGTTTTATTCTTCTGCACTGAAGTAATTATTTTGTCAAAGCATTTGGTCATGTCTGTCATTTGTATTCTTGGATATAAATTTTGTCTATGCACAGCCATTGCTTTATTTGCATCATCTCATTTCTTTTGTTCTGAATCACATCTTGATTACAAAAAAAAAAAAAATATCCAAATAAAACCTTTATTCATTCATTCATAAAATTGATGCAAGTTTTTTTTGTTTTTTCTTTACAAACTAATTCAAGCTGGAATATTGGTTTTGTAATTTTTTGAAGTAAACAAAATCATGTATCATATGCCAAATGGAGAAAACATAAAAGAAAACTAAAAAGATACACCTTATAGGCTAAGTTCAATAAAACATGTTTGAATGGATTCTTGTTAGGTTATATGTATGTGAGTGAAATGGGGTAGACAGAACTCTTGTGGGCCATTGATAGCTGTGTTAGCACAAAGCTGCAAGTCATCGTGGCCAAGGCTTGAGCGTGCTAGCCTTGTTCAAATTGCTGATCACGCTAGATAACACACTCTCTCCCAGAAACTGTAATTAAGGTCTGCTCAGCATAGTTGCAGTATAAACCACAGGTGGGCTCTGTGGGTATTGAGCAAACACAAGTGTGCCTGAGAGAGCGTCTGCAATAGGGTTTGGCAAGCTGCCCTAGTAGATGGGTATCCTCGAATACAAGTGGCCAGGTATTTTTATTATCTCTCTCTCTCTCTATATATATATATATATATATATATATATATATATATATATATATATATATATTTTAGAATAAAATGAATTTTTGTTAAATCTCATCAGATTAAATAGTTTCAACAATAAATGGATTTATAAATCCATTTATTGTTGAAACCATTTGGTCTGATGAGACAAAACCAAAGTATTGATTTTGTGAAATAAAATATTACCATGGGTTTCTAAAGTCTGCATTTTTTATCATAATTATCATTTGCTCTGTTCTTACATTGAGCTCTTTATATCCTCTTTGTAATTATCCATTTGGATTATCAAAATATATATATATATATATATATATATATATATATATATATATATATAAAATACTCCATGTTTACTGTCAGTGTGAGGTATTATGCATATTTATTAATATATACTTAATAGCTCTGTTATTTAGCATTGAGCAGTTTTTTACATTAAAGGAGATTTTTTATATATATATATATATATATTAGTTAAATTCCCAGATGAATTTTTTTTAAATTTGGATTTTTTTAATGTAACTATAACAACAAAAACATTTTGATTTCATTTTTGCCTTGAAAAAGTCGGAAAACGAAACGTGTCAGCAAAATCAAAGTTTTTTTTTCCCAATTGTCATTTTATACCATATACATATATATATATATATATATATATATATACACACACACACACAAAAACACAGAGGGTGGGATGGATAATTTATCACCATTTCATACTTTTAATTTCTTCAATGTGCGTTGTTTTTGATTTTGTTAACTGCACAGTATAGTAGGGTCAGTTGGGCACCATCTGTAAGAAAAAGTGCACCATGATGCAATTAACTGCCAGAAATTTGGAAATGGCATGCTGTACTCCTTGGCATTTGCATCAGTAGTTTCAATACAAACATTTCAGAGTGTCTAATTATCAACCTGAGGACAGTGCAGAGGATTCAGAAAGAGTTGGATTATATATCCAACATATACATTCAACATCATGGTATTCAGAGTGATCACTACTGATGGCGACATTATGTTGCCATTTGTCTTGCCACAGGGCCTCAAACTCAACACAGAGGCATACATCAAGTGCCTTGAGGAGGTAGTGCTGCTCTGAGTCAAGAGGGTGGCTGCTGGAAGATCCTATGTCTGGCAACAAGACTCTGCATCATGCCAGAGATGTGGGAGAACCCAGTCATGGTTGTCAGACAATTTCTGTGACCACATCATCTCTAACATTTGGCCACCTAACTCCTCATTCTGCAACCGCCTTGATAATTTTGTGTGGGGCGTAGTTGAGCAACCTTGTAACATCAGAGACGAACTGAAGGCAAAGATTATGGCAGCATTCACCAACTTAAACAAGGAGTCCGTGTAAAAGAGTTGCAAGAATTTCATATGTCATATGGAGGCCATGATTGAAACCAATAGCGATTTTATTGAATAAATTTACTTTTTAGTATTTCAAGATATTTTTCTGTAATTTTGGTAAATATATCTGTCAATATAAGATGTTAGTGTTATTTTCATTTCTGCATAATTTAGATGAATATTTATCCATCATACCCCTATATGTGTGTGTGTGTGTATATATATATATATATATATATATATATATATATATATATATATACACACACACACACACAAGAGAGACATTGAAAGTTATCTTTCAAACTTTGAACACTTGAAATATATTATTGAAAGAGAAAATATGCAATATTTATTATACTTTCATTATAGATATATATCAAACTCAATAATAACTGAAATTATTATAGCATTCAATCTTTTTTCTACAATTATTATCAGTCTAATAATAATAATTATCATAAGCAGTAGTTAATGATCAAATTGTGTATCATTTGTTATCACACACATTTTTTCTGTTATTTCAGATTTTTTTTGTTTTTACAATATTTTTAACTAATTTAAAGGAAAATGGGAAACCAATTAAGAAAAAAAAAAAACAATGAAAATAAAATAATTAATCAATAGAAAGAGAATAAGATTTTAAAATTCCACACCTGTTTTTGTCGTGTCGCTGAAGGTAACCTAACAATAACATCTCAGAGTTTCTTACCTGGAAAAAGAAAGAAAAAAAGTAAGAATGAATGCTACAAAAAGCAGTGATGTTACATTTTCCAAAGTTAATCTCAAGATTTAATTAACAAAAATACAAAGCCATTTTGTTAATTCCAACTATTTGAGAACATTATCTAGAACACATCTTTTCTTATAGAATGTTAATTAGAATATGCTACATTCATTTAAACATATAATTTCTGATCATACTGTGTTATCTGCCATCAGAATATATTTTATTTGGTTGACTGAAAAGTTAGTTCTGTACTTGCATTTACAGTTACACAACATGAAAAGAGAGAGAGGGAGAAGAAAAAAGAGAAAACAGGGAGAAGAAGACAAGAAAAGGAAAAAGAAAGACAAGGAAAAAGAAAGACAAGGAAAAAGAATAAGAAGAGAAAGAAAAAGAATAAGAAGAGAAGGAAAAGAATAAAGAAGACAAGGAAAAGAAGAAGAGAAAGAAAAGAAAAGACAAAAAGAAAAAAAACAAGAAAAAAAAAAGAAGAAAAAGAATAAGAAAGACAAAGAAAAGAATAAGAAAGACAAGAAAAAGAATAAGAAGAGAAGAAAAGAATAAGAAGAGAACAAAAAAAGAATAAGAAAAGAAAAAAAGAATAAAAGAAGAAAAAGAATAAGAAGAGAATAAAAAGAATAAGAAGAAGAAAAGAATAAGAAAGAAGAAAAAAGAATAAGAAGAGAAGAAAAAAGAATAAGAAGAGAAGGAAAAAGAATAAGAAGAGAAGGAAAAAGAATAAGAAGAGAAAGAAAAGAATAAGAAGAGAAAGAAAAGAATAAGAAGAGAAGGAAAAAGAATAAGAAGACAAGGAAAAAGAATAAGAAGACAAGGAAAAAGAATAAGAAGACAAGGAAAAAGAATAAGAAAGACAAGGAAAAAAGAAGAAAGAAGAAAAGAATAAAAAAAAGAATAAGAAGAGAAGGAAAAAGAATAAGAAGAGAAGGAAAAAGAATAAGAAAGACAAGGAAAAAGAATAAGAAGAGAAGAAAAAAGAATAAGAAGAGAAGGAAAAAGAATAAGAAGAGAAAGAAAAAGAATAAGAAGAGAAGGAAAAAGAATAAGAAGAGAAGGAAAAAGAATAAGAAGAGAAGGAAAAAGAATAAGAAGAGAAAGAAAAAGAATAAGAAGAGAAGAAAAAAGAATAAGAAGAGAAGGAAAAAGAATAAGAAGAGAAGGAAAAAGAATAAGAAGAGAAGGAAAAAGAATAAGAAGAGAAGGAAAAAGAATAAGAAAGACAAGAAAAAAGAATAAGAAGAGAAGAAAAAAGAATAAGAAGAAGAAGAAAAGAATAAGAAGAGAAGGAAAAAGAATAAGAAGAGAAGGAAAAAGAAAAAGAAGAAAAAGAAAGAAGAGAGAAAAAAAAAAAGACAAGAAAAAAAGAATAAGAAGAGAAGAAAAAGAAGAGAAGAAGAGAAGGAAAAGAAGAAGAAGAGAAGGAAAAAGAATAAGAAGAGAAGGAAAAGAAGAAGAAGAAGAAAGAAAAGAAGAAAGACAAGGAAAAGAATAAGAAGAGAAGAAAAAAGAATAAAAAGAAGAAAGGAAAAGAATAAGAAAAGAAAAAAAAAAAGAATAAGAAGAGAAGAAAAAAGAATAAGAAGAGAAGGAAAAAGAATAAGAAGAGAAGGAAAAAGAATAAGAAGAGAAGAAAAAAGAATAAGAAAGACAAGGAAAAAGAATAAGAAGAGAAGAAAAAAGAATAAGAAGAGAAGGAAAAAGAATAAGAAAGACAAGAAAAAAGAATAAGAAAGACAAGAAAAAAGAATAAGAAAGACAAGAAAAAAGAATAAGAAGAGAAGGAAAAAGAATAAGAAGAGAAGGAAAAAGAATAAGAAAGAATAAGGCTTGGTTTGGTTTGTTTTACGGCATATCATCCTCAATTTTTTTTTTCCTGGTAATATTTGTCCTGGTAATAATTTTTTGCAAATTGTATTGTCCTCATCTTTGCTGCCATATTTATCACGTTTCAGCCGTTGTACACTCCAGCCTTCTGGCGAACTGAACTCTTTATTTCACTCGACTGTTCTAGATCCTTGTGCTATGTCTAATGGATGTCAGTTGTCAATTATTGCCTGTTAATTCACCTCTCCAAGTTCTCCCCTGCCTTAACCAGGTATTGAACTCACAACTCTTTGGGTCCTGTCACTGGATCTAACCAACATTTTTATCCACTGTGCCATGTGCCCTTAAGGACATTCGTGTAAGAATTTCTGGGATTTTTAAACTTCAGTAACCATTTTTACGAGTGCTCATATTGCAATTTTTGCTGTTATCATTGCATGTTTTTTTATCAGAGCTCATATTGTAATTTTTGTTATTATTACTTTTCTCTGGCACTACTTATTACTGGTTCCCATATTGTATTCATTTCTATGCTTGGTTGGCTCAGAAGATTTTTATGTGCTGATTCATCATGTTCTATGCTCCTCCAAACCTCCTGATCAGAGGCCTTGCTGTTGGACATAGTTTATCGTCTTACCCAGGACGCAGATGTAGTTTATCATCATACCCAGGATGTAGAAGGAAAAAGAAAAAGAGAAAAGAGAGAAAAGAAAAACAAGAGAAGACAAGAAGGAGAAAAAGAGAAGAGAATAAAAAAAAGGAGAGAAGGAGCAGAAGAGAAAGGAGAAGAAGTGAAAAAGAAAAACATTTCAAGAGAAGAAAAAAAGAAGATAGTTTGTACTGTGAAAGTTATATCAGAGGCTATTTTTTAAAAAAATAGTTAAAATTCATAAATTTTAGTTTATTTTTTGAAAAACTGAAGATATAAAATAAGCAACATTTATAGTATATGGTGCATTTTCAGAAAGATAAAAATGCATTTCACACACACAAAGATTTGCACAATTTATAGTGAAAGTAATGTGAAAGATGAACATTTTCCAAGTTTTGTGAGAAAGATTTCTTACTCAATGATGTCCCCCAATTGGGCAGACCAGTTGAGGATGATAGTTCAATCAAGACATAAGAATAATTAACATCACCTGTTTTTCACTGGATAATACACACTCAGCAACAGTATCGATCCACCGCTTATCATTGATAATGACCCTGTTAAGTTTGTCATGTCTTTTGTATACTTAGGCTCAGAAGTTTCCAACCCTGTCGCCATCCTCATGAAGATCAACAGACAGTGTGGGGTGGCTGAAGAGTTCATAAGAGGCCTCTGAAGACCCTTATGGCAGGGTCATGACATCTCCCAACACACCAAGTTATGAGTCTACAAAGCTGCCATCTTCTCTGCACAGAGCCTCTCAGCAAGACCCATGCATCCTGTGTCCCCAAGACCAATGAGGGTGGGGGGCACTTGTCCAATCTTGTGTTTAATGCAGTGGGGGGCTTCACGGGGGGGAGGGGCTTCACTGGAGGGCTGGCCATTCTCTGCATCATCGCTTAGTGTCATGCTTGCTGTCTTGGTCATGTCCTGCAATGATCTGCTGACCACCCAACCATAGTCATCTATCAGTTTGACCTGCCATCTGCAGCAACTTTGTGGCAAAACACATAGCTGCTGGAAGGATGTTGCCTGCCAGGGCTTCTGGTAGATCAGTCTGGCACCAAAGGATGTTCTGACACGTTGCACAGGCTGTGAGAGCTGGAGAGACAAGGTAGCTCTTGTGAGCTCAAAACTTTCATGGCATGAGAGATTTAACACAATATACACTGCAAATAAGTAGGAGACTATTATAAACTGATTCTTTTTAATCAGTTTTTGTGTCTGTTATCTTTTGGACATGGTAAAAAGCTTCTGATTCACAGAAAGTCATCAATATAATTGGAGGGTCAGTTAGTAGATAATATCTACCAACATAGATTAGCTTCTCAAGGAAAAAAGGAGATGAAACAGGAATAGGAATGAGGATAATAGAAATTGCATAAAAAGTCCAAGGTTTCTTTTCTATATTTCTTATTATCTGGTGAAGGACAGAGGATAAAACAGCTAAAATATTTGTGGGGGCAAAAAGAAATTATCAATTGTTGTGAAAGATTCTATACTATAATTTTGCTTGTTTGTATGCATGATGTTATACATTTTTATTTTAGATCAGAGTGTAGCATCTGTCCTATTTCTGCTGTTCTGAGCTAGAATCAGCCATGGTTTCATAATAATATATATATATATATATATATATATATATATATATATATATATATATATATATATATATATATATTTTAAAATAATCCTGTCAGTTAAAACTAGATATTATTTTCTTACATGCATATGGGTGCCCAATTCTAAATACTTTTAAAAGAGCTTTTTAATACACATAAAACATACACACACATATTATATATATATATGGCATGAAAAAGTAAATCCTTCCACATCAACCCTCTGGGCTTATTTTTCTATTTAGCACAGATCTGACATTTAATTGGTTAATCAAGACATACCCACAAGTTTATTTTTAATTCTGACCCTATGTTTTCCCCCATCTTTATCTTTTGGAAAAAAAGGTAATGCTTTGCTTTTGAAATTTACTTTAGCTCATTTAATCATCAGTTACTTACCATAACCTGAAGAAGTACAATCAAAGTATTGAAACATGAAAGCTTTTGTGCAGTGATTTCAACATGTTTTATTGTAATCTCTTATAATAAAAAATAATAATATATCATCTACTTTTGTATTGACCACTTTTTTAAAAAAAGTGCTATGAACAGTGATTTTTAATCCATCTGTTCTTTCTCTCCTTTGTATATATATATATATATATATATATATATATATATATATATATATATATATATATTTTTGAATTTCAAATCCTTCATGAGCTTCTGATCGTTAGCTATGATTAATTAATGATGAACATGTTATTTTTATTTATGATCGATTTCATCACGATTCTTCTGTTAGGCTTGGAGAGTAATAATACATTCTTATTGTTCAAAGTAGAGTCCAACAGTGTCATAAAAACATCAGAGGATTCCATTAAGATATCTTTAATCATTTCTAAGATATAACACAGTTCAAAGCTTAATCAAACAAATGCCAATTTTGCTTTCACATGATTTGGACAATTTTACTGTTACACTTGTGTGTGTATATATATTCCCTCATCGATAGCATGACAGAGTTTCACGCACAATGCAATTTTCAGGTGCTTAGTATAAACTGACCATTTTGTAATTTAAATTTTTAAAATATCTGGTCAACGCAATTTTGACAGTTATATATTATACTGAGATTACAGTTTTATAATTTTTAAAAATAGATTTGGCATTTAAAATAAATGGGATTTTTATATACATGTAAAAAA